AGGGGGAAGGGGAGGCCTGTCAGGGGGGAGAGGAGCAGGGGTGGGGGGAGCAGTGGGAAGGGGAGGTGGGGTAGGGGGGCCAGGAGGGAGGGGGGCAGGGGGAAGGGGAAGGGGGGATGCGTCCGGAGGGGAAGGGCGGGGGGGAGGAGGGGGGGGAGGAAGAGGGGGAGGAGGAGGGGAAGGTGGAGGAGGGGGAGGGGGTAGAGCGGAAGGGGGAGGAGCGGGAGGGGGAAGAGGGGAAGGGGGGAGCGGCAGAGGTACTGTAGCAGTAGCAATGAAGCCTCCACACAGAAGAACTCCATCCAACGGCTCAGATCAGGAGTCGCGTAATCAAGGGCCAGGATCAACCGGGCCTCAGAATCGACGGCTGGGAATGGGCAAATCGCCCATCAAGATCCCCCCAAGGCCCACAGGGGGGTTTGAGGTCTGGGGAGGAGCGGGAGGGGGAGGGGGAGGAGGGGGAGGGGGAGGAAGGGGGGGAGGAGGAGGAGGGGGAAGAAGTCCTGGTTTTAGCCCAAAACCACCTGTAGCTGGCACCGCCACCGCCAACACCACCACCACCACGAGTGGTAGCACTACCAGTGGTGGCAGCGGTGCTGGTGCTGGTGGGAGTGGTAATGCCAGCAGCAGCGGAAGTGGCATTAGCAGGAGTGACTCTAAGGAGGGGCGAGGGGTGGGGCATGGTGTTGGGAGTGGGAGAGAACAAGGGGACAAAGGGCAAGGGGTAGGCCGAGGTACAGAGAGTGAGCTCTTGGGTTATGGGGAGGGCAGGGACAATAGAGAGGGCAGGGACGGTAGAGAGGGTAGAGAGGGAATGGCGAGAGGTGGTGAGGGGAGCGAGAGGAGCAACAGAGGTGGAAGTGGAGGAGGAAGCCGGGTAGCTGAGGGGAGGAGGCAATTAGAGAGTGGTGCAGAGCGGTGGAAAGGGGAGAAGGGAGGGCGGGGCGAGGAGGGAAGAGAGGGGAGGGAGGGGCAAGATGGAAGAGAGAGGAGAGGAGGGGAGGGATCTCGAGCAGGAGGGGAGGGCTCTCGGCCGTTAGTGCCTGGTGCAGGAGAGGAGGGAAGAGAGGGAAGAGGAGGAGGGGAGATACCTCTGGGTGGGGGGGGGGGATCTCGGCCGTTAGTGCGCAGTACGAGCATGGAGCCTCCGTTGCTGCAGCAGCAGCAGAGGCGCACGGGGTCAGAGCAGAGAGCGGCACAGGACCTGAGGATGTGGATTGAGCGCGCACACAACCCGCAAGTGGATAAGTGGATCTCCCAGGTGAGGGCAGTGCAGGGAGCGGGTCTGCTGTTGTGGTAATCGTAGGATGGGTGTTTGAGTACAGGGTCAGAGCAGAGAACGGCACAGGACCTGTGCGTGTGGATTGAACGCGCACACAACCCGCAAGTGGACAAATGGATCTCCCAGGTGAGGGTAGTCAGTGAGTGGACTTCCCAGTGACGAGAGAAGGTGGAGAGGTGAGTGAGGAAAAAGGGGATTAAGAGAAGAGGTGGCTTTTGAGTGGGGGGGAGACAGAATCAGCTTTTAGCCATCCTGCTTGGTTTTGTTTTTCCTTAATCGTGCACTTTCATCTACCCACTACACCCCCTTCTGCAGGTCGAGGCAAACAGCACGCCGCCCAGACATGCAGCGCACAAGAAGACAAGGAGCGAGGTGCCGGCGTTTCTGCCGCCCCTCTCCTCCAGCCCGGGCGGCGCGGGTTCTCTGCGCCGCTTGCAGAGCTCTCCCCCCATATCCCCAGGTAATAGCCCCCATAATAGCCCAGGAAATAGCCCTGATAGCAAGGGAAACCGTAGGGTAAATAGTAGCAGGAATCACAGAGGTGGTGGCGTTGGTGAGGAAAATTCATGGGCTCGTAGGAGGGGTGAGTTGAATGAAGGCGATGATGAGGAGGATTACCGGTATGTGGGTCAGCAGAGGAGCAAGTCTGATGGAAATTCGTCCATGAAAGCAGCACGTGAAGCAGAGCGGATGCGAGAGGCTGATAGGTACAGAGGCAGTGGAGGACGAAGACGAGCTACAGAATATGAATATGACTAGCGCTAATTTAATTTATGTATGCCAGCAAAGGTTGTGCACTAATAGCGAATTATACACTAATTGATTGTACATGTACAGGTTGCAACTATATATGCTCAGGAGCAGCTGAGAGGACACAATCCAGAGGAATCTTGTACCATACATGCTCCTGCTAGTATGTAAACATAATGGGGTCAAGCAAAATATATACAGTGTAATATGAACCAAGTACATATTGCTTCAGGCTGCTATAAGGCGTCGCTGTTCCATCATTTGCACAAGCGATTTTTCGCGACAGAAAAGCTCGTGATTGGCTAGCGACAGCTTGTGGTAGCCAGAAAAGCTAGCTGCTTCGCTGGACCACTCGCATCATGCGCATTTCCCATCTCTTCGCCGCAGCCACCAAACTGCAGCCCACCGGATAACGCTTCCATCCGACCAGGGCATCTCCGATGCCACGTGGCACGAGCAAACCACACGAAAGCCGTTCAACTCGTTTCCACCTGGCACATCGACGGTGAGATCTGCGCCATTTACCTCCCAGCCATTACAGATACCATACCAAAAGTCCCGCGCCATCGTTCCGCCACTCCCTCGAGATTTCCTTTTCCTAGCCACCGCCGTTCCTCTTTCCCGCGGTTCTCCGCGCACCCTAGGGATATCTGCCGCGCCAGAACGGTATTCTCGAGGAGCATCCCCCGCGCGGTACTGTATTCCGCGCGCCATTAGGTTTTATTTCCGCGGGTTCCGCTCTGCACCTGGAACCTCCTCTGTCCCAAGGTTCTGATTTTTCTCTCAACTCTCCCAAGTCTCTCTAGCTCCATTCCGCACTCAGAAGCTGTTTCCAGCTTCGCTAGACTGGTTCCTTGTCTTGTGAACCTTTTCCCAAGACGCCATGGCCGCCGCTATGTCCTGGAGCACCAAGCTCGCGTGCCCTTCTTTTGAGGGTCTGTCCAGCCGTAGCCTGCCTTCCAGCCGGGTGAACGCTGACTCCAATGTGGAGCTTAAGACTAAGGGCGCGGAGGGTGCTCCCCGCACCACCTGCTCGCTGAAGGCGATGCGCGACCGTATCGAGTCGGTTAAGAACACCCAGAAGATTACCGATGCGATGAAGCTTGTCGCTGCCGCGAAGGTGCGCAGGGCTCAGGAGGCCGTCGTCAACGGCCGTCCCTTCTCGGAAAACCTCGTTAAGGTGCTTTACAACGTTAACGAGCAGCTCCAGAACGAGGACGTTGACATTCCCCTGACCGAGGTCCGTCCCGTGAAGAAGGTCGCCATCGTCGTTAACACCGGCGACCGCGGTCTCTGCGGTGGCTTCAACAACTACGTCCTCAAGAAGGCCGAGGCTCGCGTGGCTGAGCTGACGAAGCTGGGTGTGGCTTACACCATCGTGTCCATCGGCAAGAAGGGTAACGCCTTCTTTAAGAGGCGTCCCCAGTATGCCGTTGACAGGTACCTCGAGGTCGGCGCTGCTCCCACCACCAAGGAGGCCCAGGCCATCGCCGACGAGATCTTCTCCCTGTTCGTGTCGGAGGAGGTGGACAAGGTCGAGCTGATCTACACCAAGTTCGTGTCCCTGATCAAGTCCGACCCCGTGGTTCACACTCTCCTGCCTCTCTCCCCCGCCGGCGAGGTCTGCGACATCAACGGCATCTGCGTCGACGCGGCTGAGGACGAGCTGTTCAGGCTGACGACCAAGGAGGGCAAGTTCGCCGTCGAGCGCGAGACTATCAGGACCGAGACTCCCGAGTTCACCGGCGTGCTAGGGTTTGAGCAGGAGCCTGTGCAGATCCTCGACGCTCTGCTCCCGCTCTACCTGAACAGCCAGATCCTCCGTGCTCTGCAAGAGTCGCTTGCCAGCGAGCTCGCTGCTCGTATGAATGCCATGGGTAACGCCAGCGATAACGCTAAGGAGCTGAAGAGGAGCCTGAACCTGACCTACAACAGGCGGAGGCAAGCCAAGATTACTGGCGAGCTGATTGAGATTGTTTCTGGTGCCAGTATGTAAGTTTTGGTTCATGACGTGTATGTTGGGGTAGAAAAGTTGTCACGAAGCGTTTTTATTACTTCTTCACCCTGTGGTACCAAACCATTTGTCGACATTATCGTCTCAATTGTGTTTAATTTCTATTTAGAATGTTTACAGATTGTGGATCCGTGTCTGTGAGCTCTGAAAGCATTTGGCAGTTGCTGGTACAGTATTGGGAGCAAGTGACACAGAATGATTCGTCTTGGAAAGAGCAAGTGAATGCTGGCTTACCGTATGACAGCCCCTTTAGTGCTTACTGCCCAGCCAGGCAAGGAACCTGGGTGCTATTACATCTTCTCTTGGCTATGAGTGAAGATCTTAATGCACTAGAGCTGCCGTTTGGCATGGTTGTCAGAACTGGAATTGCCATATTTTGAATGAATAACTGCATTTCAGATGTTGCTATTTGACTACTTAGGAAAGAGCTCTAATCACAGAACAGGAAGTCCGTTGTTTTACGCTGAAATTTAGTGCTGTAAAATGCTTAGTCGTTGCCCAGGATACCTTGAGATGATGCCAGAAGTTGAAAGAGGTTGGTTTTAGTTTTGAAACGGTTTGGTTCTGTTCCAGCACGTTCGGGTGGGGTTTTGAGCATATTGTTGTGACCTCGTTCCTCTCTTGTTCATAACCTCCTCCCCACCCCCCTCTAGAAGCTCTCCCGCGCGTTACGCCACATCCATCCACTGTAGGTGGCTCCTTTCCGCAGCGCCAGGGTTAGCTTCGCAAGAAAGTCCCCGCGTCCTCACCCTCCGTTCTTTTCCCATTGCCCTGCTTTCGTTATAGTCACATCCATCATGCTGGTTCACGCCCTCTCCCCGTCACTAAGACTCGCTACATTCCCCAATGCAGTCGCTTCCCTCTCCACTCCCCCAATCTCCGCGTTCCATGCGCCCGCGCGCCTATCGAATCCCGCCTTTTCACTTCTGCGCATGACCCCAGCGCAAGCCTTGCCCTCAGGCTCCCCACAGAAGCTCGTTTTCCGCCAAACCCGCGCCTTACCGCGCGTAAGCGCAAGCGTGGTGCCGCCAAAATCGCCAGCAGGGGGGTCTGCGCAAGGATCGGGCACAGGCGCAGGCGCAAGCGCGGGAGCAAATAAGCAGGCGGAGACTCCGCAGCCGCCCGTGGGGGAAACGGCAGGGGGGGGAGCGGTAGCGGCGGAAGGGGATGAGGGGAAGCTTCTGGGGCAGGCGACGACTGCGGGAATTTTCCTCCTGTGGGCTGGACTGATCGCGTATGCCGCGTTTCTTGCACCCCATCAGACGCCAGTACGTGGCAGCTTATCAGTGGCTGGTTCAACCAGGAGCCAGGTGCTCGTTCCCCCCATCTAGCCATCCCCCCAACCCCATCCCCCCTTTCCCCCATTCCCCCATCCCCTCTGATCTCCCCCCTTCCCTTCCCGCCCGCATCTCCACAGTACCGCGATCAGTACTTTCTAGAGAAGCTGCTCAACCTGAGGGGAGACGATGGGTTCGTGATGAACCAGGTGCTCGTGGCGCTGTGGAACCTCATGGGCGTCATGCCGGGCATATACGCTGCTACGCTCGTGCCCGCTTCTCGCACGTGAGTCGGTGCTGTGTGTGCTGTAGGTGCTTGCACCTGATCCCATACTGCCTCTCGGATTCGTGATGCACCAACCAGGTGTGCTCGTGGCGTTGTGGAACCTCATTGGCGTCATGCCAGGCATATACGCCGCCACCCTAGTCCCTGCTTCTCGCACGTATGTACACGTGGGGGTGCTTTGGTTGTATTTGGAGTGTGCAATACTGGCGACGATGGGTTCGTGATGAACCACGTGTGCTCGTGGTGCTCTGGAGTCTGGAACCTCATGGGCGTCATGCCGGGCATATACGCCGCCATCCTAGTCCCTGCTTCTCGCACGTGAGTGCATAGGTATACGTGTATATGTGTGAATGAATTATGGAGTGCACTGTCACACTTAGCCTCGTGATGAACCAACCAACCAGGTGTGCTCGTGTCGTGGCGCTCTGAAACCCGCCGAATTGTACATTCATTCGGTTGGTTGCTTTTTGTGAATTCTTGTTGGACCTCCGGAAGTGTACTGTTGGTTGGTTCCATGCCGGGGTTTCAGAGCGTCACGTGCACACCTCATGGGTTGGTTCATCACGCCAGGATATTTTCAGAATTCTAAAAAAATCCCTGCAACGAAGTGTACTGTTGGTTCCATGCCGGGCTTTCAGCGTGCCACAAGCACACCTCATTGGCTGGTTCATCACGCCGGGCGTGATGCCCGGCCTGTACGCCGCCACACACTCTTGTGCCTGCATCTCGTACATGCGCATGTATATGTGTGTGTGTGTGTGCGTGCGTGCGTGCGTGCGTGCGTGCGTGCGTGCGTGCGTGCGTGCGTGTGTGTGCATGTGTGCATGTGTGTGTGTGTGTGTGTGTGTGTGTGTGTGTGTGTGTGTGTGTGTGTGTGTGTGTGTGTGTGTGTGTGTGTGTGTGTGTGTGTGTGTGTGTGTGCGTGTGTGCGTACATGCGTACATGTTGTACGCACGTTCATTCCAGTCATGATAAATGATTCAGGTGTGCCCGTGGCGCTCCGAAACCCCATGGGCGTGATGCCCGCCCGGCCAGGCATAAGTGCTGCCGCTCACCCTCTGCTGCTGCTCACCCTCTGCTGCCGCTCACCCTCTCCTGCCGCTCACCCTCTTCTCACCCCCTCTACCCCTGGCACCCCCCCAGCGATCGCACCACAATCCCAGCGTGGCCCTTTCTCCTCGCCTTGTTCTTCCTAGGGGCCTTCGCCCTGCTGCCCTTTTTGCCCTCCGGACATGTGGGGTTCCTGACAGCTGCCTTTCCCCCACTCCCCTCGCACACCCCCCCCCCCAATCCCCCTGCCTGTTTCCCAGCAATCGTGCCACCATCCCAGCGTGGCCCTTTCTCATCGCCTCATTCTTCGCAGGGGTATTCGCCCTGCTGCCCTTCTTTGCTCTTTGGACGTGTGGGGCTCCTGATACCTGCCTTCTCCACCTTCCTTCTTCCCTTGCAACCCCCCCATTCCCCTTCCGTGTTTCCCAGCAATCGCACCACCATCCCCGCGTGGCCCTTCCTCATTGCCTCATTCTTCGCAGGGGCATTCGCCCTGCTGCCCTTCTTTGCCCTCTGGACACCCGGAAAGGCAGCAGTACCCACGGAGGAGGAGAGGGGGAAAGTGGGGCTGAAAGTGCTCGAGTCCAAAATCACCAGCGCGGTGAGTTAAGTTCAATGCAGTTCAACTAATGATAGGTGTGAGTTTTGAGTCAGCTCAAAACTCGACTCATTACACGCAGTTCAACCAATGATTGGTGTCCTGTGTCCTGTCAACCCTCTCCTGCTGCCCTTCTTAGCCTCTTCGCCCCTGCTGCCCTTGGTTTCCCTCTGGTCTGGACGCCCAGAGCAGCAGCAGTACCCACAGAGGATGAGAGGGGGAAAGTGGGGCTGAAAGTGCTCGAGTCCAAAATTACCAGTGCGGTGAGTCTGTTTCTTAGCCCTTTTCCCATTCGCTCTGCTGCCCTCTACTCGCTCTGGACGCCCGGAGCAGCAGCAGTACCCACGGAGGAGGAGAGGGGGAAAGTGGGGCTGCGAGTGCTCGAGTCCAAAGTCACCAGCGCGGTGAGTCTCAAGTCACTCGACTCTAATGAAGTAGGGGTGAAAGCTCTGGTATTGCCTGTTCGCCTGTTCGCCTGCGAGTGCTCGAGTCCAAAATCACCAGCGCGGTGAGTCTCAAGTCACTCGACTCTAATGAAAGTAGGGGTGAAAGCTCTGGTATTGCCTGTTCGCCTGTTCGCCTGCGAGTGAGTCTCAAGTCACTCGATTCTAGCGAAGGAAAGTGTGTAAGCGCTGCTACTGCCTGTTCGCCTTCGCCCTCTGGACGCCCGGAGCAGCAGCAGTACCCACGGAGGAGGAGAGGGGGAAGGTTGGGCTGTGCGGGCTTGAATCCAAAATTACCAGCGCGGTGAGTCTGGTGCTCAGCCCTTCTTTTGAGTCGACTCAAAAGTTACCAGCGCGGTGAGTTTGGTGCTCAGCCCTTCTGCTGTTGCTTGTTTGCGCTTCTTCGCCTCCTCTGCCCCTCTTTGCCCTCTGACATTCGGAGCAGCACCAGTACTGACTGAGGCGGAGAGGGAGAAAGTGGGGCTGCAATTGCTTGAATCCGAATCATCAGCGCGATGAATATTGAGTCACGGGGCTAGACTCTGTTTTGAGACGTCCCAAAACACTTCTTCATATATTGAGTCACGGGGCTAGACTCTGTTTTGAGACGTCCCAAAACTCTTCTTCATATATTGAGTCACGGGGCTAGACTCTGTTTTGAGACGTCCCAAAACACTTCTTCATATATTGAGTCACGGGGCTAGACTTTGTTTTGAGACGTCTCAAAACACTTCTTCATATATTGAGTCACGGGGCTAGACTCTCTCTAGTGAGAAGGCAACACAGCTTTGTATCACTAGAGAGGGTCCTTCTCAACAGCACTTCCAGCTAACTGGCTGGAAACCCATTGGCCCTCTCTCCTTCCTTCCTCCTGCACACCCACTCATTCTCCTCACACACACTAATCTTCCCCACTACCCCCCCACACACAGCAGCAGCAGCCGTTGTTGCTGGCAGCATCAGGATTGGATCAGTGCAGCAGCAGCACCCGCCGCTCACAGGCTTGAGCTTGAGACCCTTCACCAACCCTCTGCCCCGCCCTCCTCTGCTTCCTTCCCCTTATGCTCTCTTTCTTCCCCGTATAAATATCTTTTGCTGCAGTTACTGCTGCTGGCAGCATCAGGGTTGGTCATCAGTGCAGCAACAGCCCCGTCAACCGACTGGCTTAAGACCCTTCCCTTTCTGTTCCGTGCTCCCCTATTCCCTCCCTTCCGTGAACTCTCAACACCCCTCCCTTGCAGCTACTGCTGCTGGCAGCATCAGGGTTGGTCATCAGTGCAGCAACGGCACCATCGGCTGACTGCCTTCTGCCTTGGGACCCCCATAACCCAACCTTCTGCCCCCCTGCACCCTTTCCTCCTGCACACACACACACTCATCTCAAAATCCCCCCACAGTTGTTGCTGCTGGCAGCATCAGGGCTAGTCATCGGTGCAGCAACGGCACCGTCACGTCAACTGACTAACTTTAACCCTTCATCTCTCTCCTCTGCCCTCCCCTCCATCCCCTTTCCCCTGCAGCTACTGCTGCTGGCAGCATCAGGGTTGGTCATCAGTGCAGCAACGGCACCGTCCACTGACCGGCTTGAGTTCTTACAGTATTTTCAGGAGAGCCTCTTGGTAAGTATATTCATAGGTGCAGTGCAGAGTGGTGCAGTGTGGCAGAGAATGGTGTAGGCTGGTGCTGGGGATTGCAATGCGAGTATTTTTTCTTACGAGTTAGAGTGCTGCTGACTGGCTTGAGCTTGGTTGCTTGCATGTGTGCAGAGTGGTGCAGAGTGGTGCAGAGTGGTGCAGAGTGGTGCAGAGTGGTGCAGAGTGGTGCAGAGTGGTGCAGGGTGGGGAAAGGGCTGACTTTCCAGGCTCCATGTCCTTCTCAACGTGTTCCTTCCCTTCAACTCACCCCAATCTTCACACCCAACCTCCCCTATTTTTCCCCTTCCCGTTCCCCGTTCCCATCCCCATCCCCCCTCACCGTCCCCATCCCCATCCCCATCCCCCCTCCCCGTCCCCATCCCCATCCCCATCCCCATCCCCATCCCCCCTCCCCGTCCCCATCCCCATCCCCATCCCCGTCCCCATCCCCATCCCCATCCCCATCCCCATCCCCATCCCCATCCCCATCCCCATCCCCATCCCCCCTTTCCCCGTATCCCCATCAGATCCATGTCACCTCAATGGATTTGTCTTCCTCAACAAGTTCCTCCTCGTCAACTCACCCCAGTGTTGACACCCAACCTCCCCTGCACTCTCCTTACCCCTTCCCCGTCCCCCTTCCCCTTCCCCCTCCCTCCCCTCGCCCCATCAGATCCATGTCACCTCGATTGATTTCGTTCTCCTCAACATGTTCCCCCTGTTTAACGTCATCCACACCCCTCTATCCCTGCCCACCCCACTGCACCGTTCCCCGTATCCCCATCAGATCCATGTCACCTCAATGGATTTTGTTCTTCTCAACATGTTCCTGCCCTTCTGGATTTTCAACGACATGGCTTACAGGAACTGGTATGTGTGCCATGAGCTGGTATGTGTGCCATGAGCTGGTATGTGTGCCATGAGCTGTTATGTGTGCCATGAGCTGGTATGTGTGCCATGAGCTGGTATGTGTGCCATGAGCTGGTATGTGTGCTGGTGCTCTGATGAACCACAGGTGCTGTGTGCTTGCAAAGAGCCGTGGCATGCTTGTCTCAACATGTTCCTGCCCTTCTGGCTTTTCAATGACTTGGCCTACAGGAACTGGTACGTGAGCTGAGCTGAGGAACTGGTGGGTGAGCTGTGGGTGCTGGCTTAGCGCTATGCTATGTATGCTGTGACATGGTGGGCTTATTGGCGTGCTTGCCTCTCAACATCTTTCTGCCCTTCTGGCTCGGCAATGACATGGCCTACACCTGATGCCATACCTGATGCCATACCTGATGCCATACCTGATGCCATACATGATGCCATACCTGATGCCATACCTGATGCCATACCTGATGCCATACCTGATGCCATACCTGATGCCATACCTGATTCCGTACCTGATGCCATACCGGATGCCTTACCTGATGCCATGCCTGATGCCATACCTCTTGCCATACCTGATGCCATACCTGATGCCATACCTGATACCCTGCCATACCTGATGCCCTGCCATACCTGATGCCCTGCCATGCCTGATGCCCTGCCATGCCTGATGCCCTGCCATGCCACCTGCCATGCCATGGTTTTTGAGATGTCGCAAAGGCTTTCCCTTATCTCACCCTAGCCTTCCATCACTCTCCAACCGTCCCTTGTGTGTATCCAGGGCGCCTAGAGACTCATGGGGTGTTGCTCTCCTTTCATCCTCATTATAAGACTTTTCAGATATCTCAAATGCTTCCCTTCATCTCACCATAACCCTCCTTTTGTCACACCCCAACACTCTCTTGTGTTTTCAGGGCGCCTAGAGACTCATGGGGTGTTGCTCTCCCCTTCCTCCCCGTTATAGGCCCTGCCCTCTACCTTGTAATGAGGCCAGGGCTCCCCCCTCCGCCACCTGCCGCAGCCGAATCCAAATCCGAGTGAAGAGCTTAGGGATTTGTTTCACCCAAGGAGTGTATTTGCCAGCAGGTTGCAACATTATGGATTTGTAGAATATGGCACAAAAAAGCTGGTGGGAAGCACATGTGACAATAATTGATTTTCCATGAAATAGTGCCCCCCCGCCCTTCTAGTTGGGCCCAACTAGAATCCTACAGTCTCTCCGTAACATGACAAGATTTTCCACCTCTGGCAGCATATATAACAATCTAGATCCAGAACCATAGCTAGGATGAGTCATCAAGTGGGAACTGCTCCAAAACGAGGTGCCTTTTGGTAATCAAGTGGGGTGGGGAATGCTTTAGTAGACATCAACTGGGGACTGCTCCAGAACAAGGACATCTTCTACATAGCCTCTTAGTAGTAGGTATGACAGGTTTAATCAGCGAGGAGTGCTTTAGTAGACATCAAGTGGGGACTGCTTCAGAACAAGGACATCTATTCATAGCCTCTTTAGTAGGTATTCCAAGTTTGTGAAGGTGACAGAAACTAAGCTCTGCCCTCATACAGAACCTACCTCCTGGTAGTATGACACCTTAGTCTAGCCTCTTAATATGACACGTTAGTGAAGGTGACAGAAGCGAAGCTTTGCCCCCATACAATCAGCCCCGCAACTTGCTTCTTGTACACCTTGACGGTGAAATCTGTAGACCAAGTCGTTCGCCTTACAACAACCTTGGTAGATCCCCCCACGTTCATCGTGAAACCGTCTAGATTGATCGTCACGTGCTTGTCGTCCGCCTTCTGATTCACGACGAAAACCGTAACCCGCTTTTCGCCGGGGCTGTAGAACGCGCTCATGCCGTGCCAACAGCCCGAATTTATCTTGAGCGGCTTGGATCCAGGTCCGGCAAGCATGGTAAAATGCTTGAAAATCCAAAACCGCTTGTTCGCTTTAGGCATCTCCATTTCGCCTGTGTAATTCGACGGATAACTCGGCGGGAAGTCGATGCATGACCAATGCGCAGCAAAATCGTATGCCTGCCAGATCATGTACGCCGAAGTCTCCATGATATTGACGCTCTCGATAACATTTCGCGCCATGTACAGCGAAAGGTCCCAAAAGCTCCCCCGTTTGTTTAGCGCTCCAGCTTCGCTAACCCACACTTCCCTCCCCAGCAACTTTGCCGTGTCGCGAATACTGCCGAACTTTTTTTCGTACGTCGCAGCCACACTCGCCTCGTGGTAACTATTCACGTACGCGTGAACATTTATCCGCGTCAGTAGCTCATGATTCGCGATCCGAGGTAGCTGAGCGGTCATGCCATCCCAGCTGTCCACCCCCACCAACTTCGTTTTAAGCCGCTTCACTTTTAACGAGTCCGAGGTGTACTTTATGACACGGCCCATCTCGGGGGGATTGAACGTACACCCCTCGTGTTCTTTTCCGACCTTCCAAAAGCCCTCCAGCGCCTCGTTAAACGGCTCCAACGCATCAAATCTAATTTTCCACCTTTTCGCGAACTCCGCCACGACTGTCGTCAAGTAGTCTGCGAAAGCCTTCTCGTACTCAGGCAGCAAATTTGTCTCCCCTTTCCATACCGCACCTGCTACGTCACCCGTTTTCGTCATCCACCAGGGCGGGCTGTTCGAAAACGCCTCTATGACATTCGCGCCTCTCTCCTTTGCTCCCTGCAGCACGATCCGCTGCCTTTCGTCCGCGTTCCAACCGTACGGCCCGTCCTTCGTCGGCTTGAAACCCGGAATTCCCCGCCAATCTGCCTCCGAGTTTTGATGAAACTGCGGGCTCCGTTCGTCGTGGTGTCCCCCTCCGATGTTGTAACGTACGATGTTCAGTCCGAGACCGTTAATGGGTTCAAAAATAAGGTCGAGGATTGCGGTCAGCTGCTGCTGCGGTAAGCCGCCGACGTAATTTGCGAACCATGCGAGCGAAGTTCCCCACCCTCGCCACGTGGTCCCGACGAACTCTGGCGAAACTGTGACATTGATCGCACCTGCAAGCAAAGCGTGAAAGATGAATGAATACGCCTTCGCTGGTTGAGCGATTGCCGGATGCCATCCGGAGTCTGATAGATACTTGCCTCATATAACGCAGGCTACATTGCTCAAGGCCAAAACTAGCTGGTTCTAGGTATTTACCTTTAGATTTGCAGGTTGGAAGCAATTCAAACGCGGGCAATAGATCGGGGGGCGGGGCCCGCTTGTTGCCATCGGCTCCGCCGGCGCGGCGTGCTGCAGTCACTGTTTTCGGGTGCGCGGCAATCTCAAGGAGGGCTAGAACTACGAGGACACTGAAGGACACGCCGCGAAGATACAAACTCCTTGCCATCCCGGCGCTGATATTCTAGTACTATGGCACAATCACTTGGCAAGCACGGGATGGGATCGCACTGTCTTGGATCGACTACCACTGCTCTCCGTAGTTTAATGTTCACGAATCACGAGGCGCAAGAGGCGGTATTTGTGGATGTACAAGAACGAAGGGATGGCTCCAGCGGAGCCTGTTGCACCATCTGTCGGTATCGCGCTGGTAGAAACGACCTACTACCGAACGGACAGCGCACGCCATCTGTGTAGTGAAGACGATGGTGAGGAGGCTCGTGGCTTGTGGAGAAAGCGCGTGCCACTCACGATCAACTTCGAGTCGCGCGCGCCTCGAGGGCTCAAGCATGTTGGAGGAAACCTGGGAGTGTGTGTAATGATGAGTGGCGGGTGGGATTAGGGGAAGAGGCTGGGCTGGAAAACTAGGGGCAAATGCAAGAGCACGAGATTTGCGTGTGGCTGGCTAGGCAAGGGAAACTGGACTGGAAAATCGCTTGATTGGCGGAACAGGGCTCGAGGTGGAGGAAGAGGGGAGGAGGGAGGGAGACGGAGGAAATTTCAGAGGCCCAGGAGAGATTGGGAGGAGAATGTGACGACTACGAACCGCGTGCGCTTCGATCCAGATGACATTGTTGTGACTACACAAGATGCCCAACCCCTGCACGCGAATTTGCTTTTCCACGATGGAAACTCTGCACCCGCGTATTAGGGTACCAGCCAGTTGCACCCCATTTATAAGCACCTCGAGCAATACGAGCCACAAAAACCAAAGTTTGACAGAAGAGACCCATGTCAAACGGTCAATAGCGAGTTACAAAATCTTTTAAAAGCCCTTTTTGCTAAGTGCGATTTGACGAAAGCTTAGCGAAATGCAAGAATCACTTAAGAGCCCTCTTAGCAAGGCGACCTTGGGTTAGTCAAACGGGCATCGTGTGTACTGTACATCGAGAGCGAGACGAGAAACCCCAGAAATTGAAGCACGTGTGAGAGCTGGTGGGCCTAGCAATAATCGCGCTATAATATTTTGAACGAGCTATAGCTCGATAGTGACGTGCCTCGATTTTTCCTGTTTGAATGGGGTGTGGTGTGGCACTCCCCTTCATCCACTTCCAAATGATAGTGAAGTGCTGAGGACTTTGACCCAACGAGTGGCAGCAAATTACCAGTATGAATTTAGATAGATACCTATCCAATCTTGCCAAGCCAGCCTAAACTAGAATCTACGTGTACAAACTTTCCCAACTGAAGCAAAAGGTAGAACCATACCTAGGCCAAGGGTCATCAAATGGTGGTGGCTGCTGCAGCTACCAGCAACACACAAATTAAGGTGACAAACAAAGCTCTGTTTATAGAACCAGCACTAGCAGTGCTGTAAAAGCCTAGTCTCTCAGGTGAAGGTGACAAGTTAGTGAAGGTGACAGAAACGAAGTTCTGTCCCCATACAGTCAGCCTCACTATTTCCTGTGTGTACACCGTGCGGTCGAAATCCGAAGACCAAGTTGTGCGCCTTATAATGACCTTGGTAGTTCCCCCCACATTCCGTCTAAAACCGTCAAGAGTAATCATCACCTGCAGGTCTACTGCCTTCTGATTCACGATGAAAACCGTAACCTGGTTATCGCTGGGGCTGTAGAATGCGCTCACGCCGTGTGAACAACCCGAGCGTATCTTGAGCGGCTTGGATCCAGGTTTGGCAAGCAGGGTGAAATGCTTGAAAATCCAAAACCTTTTGTTCACAGTAGGCATCATCATTTCGCCACTAAAGCCAGGTGGATAGTCGGGTGGGAAGTCGATGCATGACCAATGCGCAGCGAAATCGTACGCCTGCCAGACGTGGTATGCCGAAGACTCCATGATATTGACGCTCTCGATAACGTTCCGCGCCATGTACAGCGAAAGGTCCCAATAACTCCCGTTCATGCCTAACGCTCCAGCTTCGCTAACCCACACCTCCCTCCCCAGCTGCTTCCCCGTGTCGCGTATGCTGCCGTATCTGCCTTCATAAGTCGCAGCCACACCCTCCTTGAAGTACTGATTAACGTACGCATGAACGTTTATCCGCGTTAGTAGCTCATGATTCGAAATATGAGGTAGCATTGCTGTTGTGCCATCCCAGCTGTCCACCCCCACCAACTTCGTTGCCAACCCCTTCGCTTGTAACGAGTCTGAAGTGTACTTTATGACTCGCCCCATCTCCGGAGGATTGAAATTACAGCCCTCGTGTTCCTTCCCGACCATCCAAAACCCCTCCAGCGCCTCGTTAAACGGCTCCAACGCATCGAAAGTAACTCCCCACCTTTTCGCGAACTCCGCCACGACTGTCGTCAAGTAGTCTGCGAAATCGTCTTCGTACTGAGGCAGCAAATTCGTCTTCCCTTTCGAAACCGCACCTGCCACGTCACCCGACTGGGTCATCCACCAAGGCGGGCTGTTCGAAAACGCCTCGAAGACATTCGCGCCTCTCTCCTTCGCTCCCAGCAGCACCTTCCGCTGCCGTTCGTCCGCGCTCCAAACGTACGGCCCGTCCTTTGTCGGCTTGTAACCAGGAATGCCCCTCCAATGCGCCTCCAAGCTCTGATGAAACTGCGGGCTGAGTGTATCGTTGTGTCCCCCTCCGATATTGTAACGTACGATGTTCAGGCCTAAGCCGTTGATGGGGTCGAAGATAAGGTCGAGCATCGCGGTCAGCTGCTGCTGCGGCAAGCCGCCGACGTAATTCGCGAACCACGCGAGCGAAGTTCCCCACCCCCGCCACGTGGTCCCGATGAACTCTGGAGATATTGTGAGATTGATCTCACCTGCAAGCCACAACAGAAGCATGTAACATTTATTGGTTTCGTTGTTTTGCAGACTGCATGTGAAGCGATCTCAGATCAGGAACTTGCAGGTGGATAGCACGTCTTCCGTACATCTGGGGGCGACCCCGCTTGCTACCATCGCGTGTTTTGAGTCACTTCGAAAGCTTTTTGAGTCGAGTCTAGCCATTTGTACGAGCTGGCAGGAAAAAGTGCCGTACCTGGAAACTTGCAGGTGGATAGCAATTCTTCCTTGGGCGCTAGATCGGGAGGCGGACTCTGCTTGCTGCCGTTTCCGGGTGCTGCGGTCACTGTTTTCGCGTGCGCGGTAATCTCGAAGAGGGCTAGAATTAAGAGGACACTAGAAGACATGCTGCAAAGGAGCAGTTTCCTCGTCATCTTGCTTATTTTGACGGTACGTGTAGGTGCGAGAGGCTGGTACCGAAGGAGCTACTGTACTAGTTGTACTATCATCGGTCGGCAGAAGCACAGCAAGGGGATCTACCCGAAGGACCTCGCCGTGCGGTGTTACTATAACGGCCATCACTAACTACGGTATTGCTCGACGAGAGCGCGTCTCGTGGATTCGCGCGCGCACTGCCGGCTGAAGGTTGTGAGGTTGGGAAGGACGGCTGTGGAAGTACAAGTTGGGTTGGGATGCGTACTTGAGGGACAAGGGGCTAGGGGATTGGTCGGGGATTATGCCTTGAAGGTGCAAGAGCAATGGGGTGAAGGGAAAGTGGCGGCGGCGTTGACACAAGGGCCTTGAGGTTGTTGTAAGTGACGAGAGGGGAGAGGATGGCTTGTGGCAAAGAGGATATGGGATGAGAAACGAGGCGAGCTGATAACAACGTGCGTGCGATTCGAACCATTGGAATACGGCTACATGCGCCGAATTGTGAAAATGACGCGGAATGCACGTAACAGCTTCCTCATTCAGACGCACGTCTGAATCGCTGCAGTGCCTGATTCAGCGAAGTCAAGCCTGATTTGTCGCGAGAATATTTTGCCAAGATTCACATTTCCACTTTCGATTCCCGCGTCACGCGACGCTATCATCCGCGGGAATCGTAGTGATGGCCTTCTGGTTACAGTGTTAAGTGCTGTCGCCACTGTCGAGCATCTTGCTGCTCACCCGTTCCTTCACATTTTTGGCCCTGCCCTGCCCTCTACCTCAAGCATATTGAAAATTTTAGTGAAGTCAAGTCCCAAGAAGTATATATGGCAGCAATTCACCTGCATGGATTAGGAAGGGTACATGGCATAATAACGCTAATAAATAGCATCAGTGATAGCCAAATCTCACCATGGCAGCCTAATCTGTAATCTATTATGACAGGATTTCCCAACTCTAGCTGCTAGTAATAAAATTATAGGGGTAGAACCATACCTATGGCAAATGAGTCAGCAATGGTACTGACTGCTGCAGAACTGTTATGAATGAACTTGCAGAGTGCGCAGTAAAACGAATAACGAGAATGACTGATTACTGAATTACTGAATGAAGAAACAATGAAGTAGCGAGGCCTAAATAGGGGAAGTCCTAGCAAGGCGGAGAGGTTGGGCGAGGATGGCTCGGTGATGGTTGCGACTGGAGCGGAGGCCGATTCGGGAGTGGTTCGGCCGACGAAATAGGCCGAACAGGTTCGTCGCGTGACCTTCGGGATGTACTCGCTAATAACTGACTACAGTAAGGAATTCTAATTCCTTACAAGAACGAGCTACCAGCCACACTAGCAAAGGTGACAAACGAGGCTGTCAGTATAGTACCAGCACTATCAGTGCGACACGTTAGTATGCCACGTTAGTGAAGGTGACAGATACGAAGTTCTGGCCCCATACAGTCAGCCTCGCTACTTCCTGTGAGTACACCCTGCGGTTGATATCCGTAGACCAAGTCGTCCGCCTTATAACGACTTTGGTAGTTCCCCCAACATTCCGTCTAAAACCGTCTAGATTAATCAGCACCTGCCGGTCTTCCGCCTTCTGATTCACGATGAAAACTGTAACCCGTTTTTCGCGTGGGCTGTAGAACGCGCTCATGCCGTGCGAACAATCCGAACGCATCTTCAGCGGCTTGGATCCAGGTTTGGCAAGCAAGGTGAAATGCTTGAAAATCCAAAACCTTCTGTTCGCTTTAGGCATCACCATTTCGCCACTAAAGCCGGGTGGATAATCTGGGGGGAAGTCGATAAGTGACCAATGCGCAGCGAAATCGTACGCCTGCCAGACGTGGTACGCCGAAGCCTCCATGATATTGACGCTCTCGATAACGTTTCGCGCCATGTACAGCGAAAGGTCCCAAAAGCTTCCGCTTTTGCTTAACGCTCCCGCTTCGCTAACCCACACCTCCCTTCCCAACAGCTTCGCCGTGTCGCGTATGCTGCCAAATCTGCCTTCGTAAGTTGCAGCCACACCCTCCTTGAAGTACTGGTTAACGTACGCATGAACATTTATCCGCGTGAGTAGATTATGATTCGAAATCAGAGGTAGCACCGCTGTCGTGCCATCCCAGCTGTCCACCCCCACCAACTTCGTTGTCAAACCCTTCGCTCGTAACGAGTCTGAAGTGTACTTGATGACTCGCCCCATCTCGGGCGGATTGAATGTACATCCCTCGTGTTCTTTTCCGACCTTCCAAAAAGCTTCCAGCGCCTCGTTAAAAGGCTCCAATGCGTCGAAAGTAACTCCCCACCTTTTCGCGAACTCCGCCACGACTGTCGTCAAGTAGTCTGCGAAAGCCTTCTCGTTCTGAGGTAGCAGATTCGTCCTTCCTTTCGAATACGCACCTGCCACGTCGCCCGACAGGGTCATCCACCAAGGCGGGCTGTTCGAATACGCCTCGAAGACATTCGCGCCTCTCTCCTTCGCTCCCAGCAGCACGTTCCGCTGCCGTTCGTCTGCGGTCCAATCGTACGGACCGTACCTTGTCGGCTTGTAACCCGGCATACCCCTCCAATACGCCTGCAAGTTCTGATGAAACTGCGGGCTGCGTGTCTTGTTGTGCCCCCCTCCGATGTTGTAACGAACGATGTTCAGGCCTAAGCCGTTGATGGGGTCGAAGATAAGGTCGAGCATCGCGGTCAGTTGCTGCTGCGGCAAGCCGCCGACGTAATTCGCGAACCACGAGAGCGAAGTTCCCCACCCTCGCCACGTGGTCCCGATGAAGTCTGGCGAAATTGTGACATTGATCGCACCTGCAAGGAAAGCGTGAAAGATGCAATAAAATTGCCATCGTTGTTTGCTGAATGTATGAAAACCGATGCGTGGATACAGCCGGTTCTGCCATCGTGCGTTGAGTTGAATCATAACAAACTAGCGGGTAGTATTACTAATAGCGTACCTGGGAACTTGCAGGTGGAGAGCAATTCTTCCGTGGGCAATAGATCGGGGGGCGGACCTCGCTTGCTGCCAACCACCCATGCCGTCGCGAATGTCTTTGGGTGCGCGGCACTCCCGAAAAGGGCTAGAAATAGGAGGACTGTAAAAGACACGCCGCGAAGGACCAAGCGCCTCGTCATCGTGCGTACTCTCTAGGGCACTATTAAAAAAGCATCAATCAGCCTGGGATCTATGATTGCTACGTTGCATATTTTTATGTCCACGTAGAGGGAGGTACTGCAGGAAACGGTACGTGTACCAAGAGCGAGGGTCTGGGTCTGATGGAGCTACTGTACTAGCTGTGGTATCATCGGTCGGCAGAAGAGTAGCAAGGGGATCCTCCCCAGGACCTCGCCGCACCGTGTCTCTATCGCGGGCATCTCTATCAAACGAGAGCGCTTCGATGGATTCACGCGCGCAGCGTCGGCTGAAGCAAGTTGTGGACTAGGGGGTTGTGTACTGATGAGTGAGGGGCAGGGGACCGTGGGTGGGTAGGTGGGAATGGGAAGGGTGGATTTGAGATTTAGGCTGGGCTGGGAGCCCTGGGCCACGTGCACGGGGGCGACAAGGGAAGCGATGTGTTCGAAAAATCCAGTGGCATGGCAAGGGGGGGAATGGGCGAGAAAGTGACAATACGATGCGTGCGATTCGAGCCATTCGACATTGTTGCGATGTGAGTGCTGACTGAACCGAGGGCGGTTCGAGAAAACAAACTACAATGGGCTTGTAAAGGTCGGGGACTTATCACGGCAAGCTACACCTTCACACAAAAGAGCAAAATTAGCAGTGTGTCTCACTTATTGCACTAATTTGGAATTTGGTGCTACCAGTATTTATTTTGACATACCGTATTTAATTCTAGTCTCTGTACACACTTAAATGCCAAATATGTTTGGTAGTTCGTTCCTCCAATCTTTCTACTCAATTGTAGCAAAGGGTATGTACCGTAGTAACTTCATACGGTATTGATGCCAACGTTTGGGAGTTTCCACCAACATTACAGAAAGGACACATGCCAAAGCAGGCCAGCATGTGCAACACACGGTACGGTAAGTTGAATTTCCGGCATGGTGGCACCGAAAGTCTGGCGTTATTCATGGTACGCAGCATCTCCGGCTTCTCTCAATTCCACCATACACCCAGCATCGTATGGGTTGTCTATGGGTTGTCAAGTTGTCAACATCCAAGCGAAAAATTACACAACACATCCCGAGCTAGTTATTTCTCATACCGGTAATCACTTGTAGCGATCTCGAGTTCACGTTCGCAAACACAAGCAAATGTAACGAACAGGAGCAGCAAGGTACAACAATCTCCACACCCCTACCTGAAACTCCGCCAATTCCCATCACCCCCACTCCTCCCTCCTCCCCTCTCCTTTCCCCAAGCCCCTCTTCCCCCCATCTTACTCCCCCTTCCCCTCCCCCTCCTCCATTTTGCTGTCTCTCTGTTCCCACATCCCCTGCAGCACCCCCCTCACCTCCACCTGTCTCCATCCCAGGTCTCCCACTACAGGCCACGGATCCTTTACTCCCAAGAGCCACTCCCTCTAGACCAAGAGCCTCAACCACCTCCTGTGATTCCAATGCGAATACGTCCCCACACCGACACTCGGCCACAAACACACCTCTCCTGTAGGTCTGCTTGCCTCCTCCCTCCCCTCCCCCCTTCCCACTGTCACACTTCCCCGCATCATACCCCTCCTCCTCCACCACCTCCCCTTCTGCTCCTCCTTTTCCTTCTTCTTCTTCTTCTTGCTCTTCCTCCTCCCATGTCATGTCCTCTATGCTTATTCCATCAGCACACGACGTTGCACCACCACAGCTAGCTCCTCCTGCTGCTTCTCGGGCCACTGATGCTACCCCTCCTCCTGCTCTCCCTCCTCCTCCTTCGGCCCCGTCTACTGCTGTGGGTTCTGCTGCCAACTCACCATTCTCCCTCTGCCCTCCCTCCGCCCCACCTTGCCTCACGTCATCTTGGCTCTCCCCTTCTTGTAGCTGACATCCATTCGCAGAGCTGGAACTGTATCCACCATTGGTGGAGCTGTAGCAGGCAGCACTGTAGCTGCGGCTGTAGCAGCCCTGCTGCACCAGAGCCAGTGCCGCCGCCCGTTTGTCTGACTCTGCACCAGAGTCGTTACAAGGAAATATTGGTACACAAAGAGACTAATTTAAGCATCGAGAAGAGTCCCTTTGAGACCAGATTAAAGAGGTCAGGCTCACAGGAGAGGCAGGGCAGGTTGTAGCACACGATTATGAGCCAAAGACGCGTCTCGCAGCGCTCCCGAACCCTAGCCGTGGGAAATTTCGAATTCAATCACGAGCCCGTCGTTTGTTTTATGACCTTAACTGGACACCTGAACCCTAAACTTGAGAACACCTGGCGGTTAAGGAACACACCAAGGAGCATGCGATCGTAATCGGCGCGAGCGGACGAATCGCGCAGAGCACTCCACGCCGCGTGCACGCGCTGAAACCGTTGCTCCTGACCGTTAGAAATGCTGTCGCCGTTAGTGTCTTCTCCGTTAACTTGCACCCGTCGTTCCAGATCTTCGTGAATTCGTTCGCCTTCCTGCTGCCGTTGCACCTGCCGTTTCTGATTCTGCTGTTGCTGCTGCTGCTGCTGCTGCTGCTGCTTGTCTGGGTGCAACAGCAGCGCAGCTTCTTGGAAACTACGACGGATCTCCTCTACACTAGCGCTCCGGGCTACACATAGCGCATCATAATGAGTCTCACCCAATCCATATGGCTTCGCTGTTTTTCCTCTACTTGAGAACGAAGAGGACGCCATTCCCGCGCTATAGCTTTGAAAATTGTACACCTGGTGGAATGCTAGGGCCCTTGCCGAAAGTACATATGATTGCGTTGCGATGCGAGGGTTCAAGTTAGCGCGGGAACCTGAAAATTCTGATCAATCCGAAACCCTGGGCTTGGTTTGGGTTTGGTTTGATAAGAAGTTTCAAGTTTGCGGGCTAACTTTTCCGGAAAGAGGAACGATTGAGTTCGGTTGAGAGAGCTGTAGTCGGGTTTCCAAATTCTGCCTTGAGTTTGTTTCCAAATTCTTATGGATTCTCCTTACAACCCTGTCTGACAGACACTCGGGAATTCATTCACCTTTCAGCAATTTTGCACACACGAAGTGCTGAAGCTACACGGTCCAGACTGACAGGGTCCTGACGAGGTTTGCCGCTGCGTTGACGGCATTGACGGCGTTGACGGCTTTGACGGTGTTGACGGCGTTGACATGTATTGAATGATCACGCGATGGACATAGGATTTCGGCTTAGCCGCCTGCCGGCTGTTTCAGCCAGCCGGCTGACCGTTGTTTTGACGGCCGGCCGGTTTGGCGCGCTTCGTTTCAGAACATTGCCTATCGCGCCGTCTTTCGCGGCGGGTCGGCTAGTTCGCACATCAACGCCGTTTGAGGAATCTATGAAATCTCTCGCGATTCCGAGTCGCAGCAGTGGGATAGTGGCGAAAAAGGCGACCTTGGAGACGAATTCCCGCAGCGCTTGGCGCCAGGCAAAGTTTCGCGTAGTTTGTAACGCGCGACATGGGGTTACCAGTCGGGGGACCACTACCTCTGGGACAAGCAGCAGGAGCAGCAGTACCAGCAGCAGGAAGGGGAATGCTGACAAGGCAGAGAAGAGGGAGACGGGGAAAGGGGAAACGGCGGGGAAGGTGGCGGGGAAGGGGGAGGCGGCGGAAGGAGAGCAGGAGCTTGGCGGGGAAAATCGGCCGCTTAGGCTGGTGGTGAATGGGGGAGGGGCGGCGGGCGTGTTTGGCGCGATTCGAGCCAAGGAGATGGCGCCTGGTTTGGAGGTCAGAGTGGTGGAGAAGAGTCAACCGCTGGGGAAGGTGAGAGGGGAGGGGGGGAAAGGTGTGGAAAAAGGGAGGAATTTGGGGGAGAGCAGAAAGTGTTTAGCGAGATTCGCGCCAAGGAGGTGGCTCCGGGCCCGGAGGTTCGGGTGGTGGAAAAGAGTCATCCGTTGGGGAAGGTGAGAGCGATGAGGGAGGGTTGTGGGGAAAGGGTGGGATTTGGGAGATTGGCGGGCGTGTTTGGCGCGATTCGGGCCAAGGAGGTGGTCCCTGACCTGGAGGTCAGAGTGGTGGAGAAGAGTCAGCCGCTGGGGAAGGTGAGAGCGATGAGGGAGGGTTGTGGGGAAAGGGTGGGATTTGGGGGAGAGCCGGGAGTGTTGGGTGTGATACGATGTACCGTACCATGTCTCATGCCAGCTCTGAGACATCTACAAAAATAACCTCTTTCACCGGGAGTGTTTGGCTTGATACGATGTGCCGTACTGTGCGTGTCTCATACCATTTCGTATCCCACGTGATAGAAGTGTAGTTTTGGGACGTCTCGAAAGTACATTGTCACGTGGCTATTCTTTCACCATGCTTCACCGGAAGTGTTTGGCTTGACAAGATGTGCCGTACCATGTCTCATGCCATCTAATATCCCCAACCACCCACATGCATCAGGTGCGCATATCAGGGGGCGGGCGTTGCAACGTCACCACAGGTCTCACAGCCGACCCTATGGTACGTGCACTGAGTAACGTGTGGTGTGTAACATGTAAGATGTAACGTGTAACGTATAACATGTAACTTGTAATGTAACGTGTAACTTGTAACAGGCCTTTTGAGATGTCCCAGTACCCTTCTTTTCCTCTTCTCTGCATCTCCCCTCCTCGCTTCCTCCTCCCAGCACCTCTCCTCCCACTACCCAAGGGGCCACTGTGAGCTTAAAGGCTCCTTCTCAAAGCTCCCTTTTCCCTCTCCGCTACTACACCCCTTACCAGATTTCCCATTCTCAAAGCTCACCTCGTCCTCTCGTCACCTCTCCTCTGCATCACCTGCTCCCTCTCTCTCCATTTTCTCCCCACTCCCCCAGCACCTCTCCTCCCACTACCCACGAGGCCACCTTGAGCTCAAAGGCTCATTCTTCCGAACACACGGCCCGGCAGACACATTCTAAATGCTCACCACTACAAGCTTCCACCCCACTACAGTGCTTCACTCCCTCACTTCTGCTCTCCCCTGCTCAACTTCTCCGCCCCCATCCCCCCCGCCCAGCACCTCTCCTCCCACTACCCACGGGGTCATCGGGAGCTCAAAGGCTCCTTCTTCCGCACACACGGCCTGGCAGACACGGTCGAGTGGTTCACCCAACGAGGGGTGCCGCTCAAGGTGCGTGCGTGTGTGTGTGTGTGTGTGTCCCTTGTGCCTCTACCCTGTGCTTGGCGGGCCTTTCACTCATACCGCATGCCCCTTGTGTCGCTGTTATTCTTGTTCAGAGCCTCCTCCCGAACACACGGCCCAGCTGACTGACACATGTGTGACCCTCGAAGTGCGTGTGTCTATGCCTGTAGGGATGCTGCCGCTGCTCCCAGAGTCTCAGGGTGGCAGAATTTCGAGGCGCCTAAAAAATGCTCCCAGAGTCCCAGGGTGGCAGAATTTTGAGGCGCCTAAAAAATGATCCCAGAGTCTCAGGGTGGCAGAATTTTGAGGCGCCTAAAAAATGATCCCAGAGTCCCAGGGTGGCAGATTCCTTCCAGTCAGCCATCGACTGCTTGCTCTTAGTCTGCTCAGCTGCCAGTCCCTGCACTCCCCCGCTCCCTTTACCCCCCCCACTCCCTTCACTCCCCCATTCCCCCACTCCCTTCACTCCCCCATTCCCCCACTCCCCCACTCCCCCACTCCAATCCTTTCCAATGCCAGACAGAGCCAGACGGGCGCATGTTCCCCGTGTCTGACTCCTCCCAATCTGTTATCGACTGCCTGCTGTCAGTCTCTCGTCTCAATCCCCACCCTCACTCCACCCTCCCCACCCTCCTCGGACCCTCACCCTCAACACCCCCATGACAGACAGAAACAGACGGCCGCATGTTCCCCGTGTCAGACTCCTCCCAATCAGTCATTGACTGCCTGCTCTCAGAAGCACAGCAGCTCTCAGGTACGCTCTCAGGTGAATTCTCAGGTAGTATTTAGGTGCATTTCCAGGTCGTCAACCGCCCGTGTGTTTCCGCACCTCTTCAGGCCTCCTCCTGTGTGTTTTCTCACACTCCATCCCCTTCAATCCCTTTTCTCCTATCCGTCCATTCTCCCTCCCACCCCCTCCATCCCCTCCCCTCTCCCCCTGTGACCATCTTCCCTTGCTGACCCAGTGACCAGTAGCATTTATGTCTCGCATCCCTTCACAGGCCAGTTCCTGCTGTCCGAGTGCCTATTTCTCCTGACTAACCCGTAGCATCCATCTCGCACCCTCCTGCAGGCCAGTTCCTGCCGACCCACACTCTCACACTTCATCCACTCCTCCTCTCCTCCCCCTGCCCTCTCCTCCCTTTCCCCACCAGTGACCATCTCGCCTGGCTGGCCTGTATCATCCATCTCTCGCACCCCTGCAGGCCAGTTCCTCATCACCTCCTCCAAAAAGGCTCCACCGATTACCAATAGCTCCTCCTCTCCCTCCTCCTCTCCCTCCTCCTCCACCTCCCCTCTCTCCCTCATGGCTGATTTCGTTCTTATCGCCACCGGTGGGTCAATCAAGGTATTAGACCTTTCTGTTAGGGTGATCTCCAAATGTCATCCGTGCTGTGTATTATTTTCAGCAAGTCCTTTTGCCTTCTTTTAAGGTCCTGCCATCATCCCTGCCTGTACTTCCCTCATCGACTCTCATCACCCCTCATCACCCCTCATCACCCCTCATCACCCCTCATCACTCCTCATCACCCTTCATCACTCCTCATCACTCCTCACCCTCGCCCCGTACTCACCCCTCCTCCTCACCCTTCCTCAATCCTCCTCACCCCTCTTCACCCGTCTTCACTCCTCCTCACCTGTTCCCACACATCTCAACGCCAGGGGCATTCTATGGCATCATTCCTCCGTCAATCCGTCATCCCTGACTGCCCTTCCCTCCTCCCTCTCCCATACGTGTCTCACAGTTTCACCCCAACTCACCCTTTCCCACTCATCCCCGTCCCCCATCACCCCTTCTCATCTCTTCCCACCCCTCTCAACCCCTGCAGGGTCATGACATGGCAGCATCTCTAGGTCACTCCATCATCCCTCCCTGTCCGTCACTCTTCACTTTCAACATCCCTGACACTGCTCTCACTGCTCTAGCAGGGGTGAGTAGAGTGAGTGAGTGAGTGAGTGTATGGTGAATGAGCTAGTTAGTGAGTGAGTGGATGTGTGAGTCAGTGAGTGAGTGAGTGAGTGGATATGTGAGTGAGTGAGTGAGTGAGTGAGCGAGCGAGTGGATGGGTGACTCAAGTCTCAGCTCTAAGGTCACTCCATCATCCCTCCTCGTTCTCCTTGTCTTGCCATGCCCATCAATCCAGGGGTCTCTTGAAAACGTGTCTCTCAAGCTGCTCGTTCCATCCTCCCCTTCCTTCACCATACCCCTCACTCTGTCAATGCCCCTTCTTCCATCATCGCCCTCTGCCGTTCTAATGCCCCCCTGTACCAGGTGTCTCTTGAAAACGTGTCTCTCAAGCTGCTCGTTCCATCCTCCCCTTCTTTCACCATACCCCTCACTCTGTCAATGCCCCTTCTTCCATCATCGCCCTCTGCCGTTCTAATGCCCCCCTGTACCAGGTGTCTCTTGAAAACGTGTCTCTCAAGCTGCTCGTTCCATCCTCCCCTTCCTTCACCATACCCCTCACTCTGTCAATGCCCCTTCTTCCATCATCGCCCTCTGCCGTTCTAATGCCCCCCTGTACCAGGTGTCTCTTGAAAACGTGTCTCTCAAGCTGCTCGTTCCATCCTCCCCTTCTTCCTCCTCCGCCCTTTCACCCCTCACATCCACCACTGCTGCCACCACCACCACCACTCCCACCGAGACTGCTGATGCTGCCGCTGCCACTGCTTCTGCTCCTGCCGCCGTTGCCAGCACTGCTAAAACCAAGCAAAAGCTGCGGAAAGACAAGGAAACATCCTTCACGCAGCGAGGGTCCCTGCTCTTCACGCACTGGGGAGTGAGCGGCCCGGCTGTGCTGAAACTCTCCGCCTGGGCTGCGAGGAATTTGCATGCCTCGGCTTACACTGGTGGGTGGGTTGTGGGTGGTGGGTGCGTGAGTCTCTTTCCCTTCAACCCAATTGCGCCTCTCTCCCCTCACCCCTCCTCTTCACGCACTGGGGAGTGAGCGGCCCGGCTGTGCTGAAACTCTCCGCCTGGGCTGCCAGGAATCTGCACTCCTCTGCTTCACTCCTCCTCACCTCTCCGCTGCTGCTCTCCTCCCTGCACTCACTGCCTCACCTCCTCAACTTTGTTCTTCCCCCTATACCTTCCTCCCTCTTTCCCTTCCCCTCTCCCTCCCACCAGCAACTCTAGTGGCTGAGTTAACCCCTCACCTCTCCGCTGCTGCTCTGCCCTCTACACTCACTGCCTCACACCTTCACCTGCGTTCCTCCCCCCCTTCCTCCCCTATTTCCTCCCTCCCTCCCTCCCTCCCTCCCTCGCTCCCTACCTCCCTCCCTCCTTAACACCAGCAACCCTAGTGGCTGACTTTACCCCTCATCTCTCCGCTGCTTCGCTGCTCTCTGCCCTCACTACTGCCAAGTCATCACTTCAGGTGCTTTTTCCTGCTTTTGGTGCTTTCTGTCTACTACTGCTGCTTCAAGTTATTTCCACATCTCCCCCCACCACCTGCAATGTTCGGCTCTCCACATTTCAAGGCTCTCCAAGCCTTCTCAACTCCGTTTCCTTTGACTAACATATTCCCTCCCCTTTCAAATTTTTGCTCACGCTCATTCGCTCCGTCCAATATCCAAGGGTCTTTTGATCGCCTCAAAAGTCTTCTTTTTACACTAAACTCACCCACTCACCCTCTCACTCACCCACTCACCCACTAACTCACTCACTCACTCACTCCCTGCCTCCCTGCGCCACTAGCAGAAAAAACAAATCGGTACCACTGCTCCAGTGGAGCTGAACCTTCCCAGAAGGTTCTGGTGCTACCTGCTTGATCGTGCTGTGAGTAACATTTTTACAATCTGCAAAGCCTCCTACCTTTCTAAGAGCTTTCTTTAAGAGTTCCCTTTTTTTTTCAGGCACTTCAAGAGTCAGCGTTATGAAGCTCTTCAAAAATGTCTAAAGGTGTTGTTTGGGATAGCCTTGTTAGTGTTGCTTAGAGGCTTCTTGAATGTGTAAATGTCTGGGACCCTCGGCACTTGGTTCCTGGGGTGCCTCAAAGGTGTCTACTTTGAGGCGCCTCAAAAGTGGGCGCCTCGGCACTTGGTTCCTGGGGTGCCTCAAAGGCACCCCAACATGTGGTCCGTTCTTCTCCCCTACCCTCCCCTCCCCTCCCCTCCCCTCCCCTCCCCTCCCCTCCCCTCCCCTCCCCTCCCCTCCCCTCCCCTCCCCTCCCCTCCCCTCGCCTCCGATCTCCTTCCCTCTCTCTTCCCCCCTTTTTTCCTCCTCTCTCCCTTCCGCTCCCCTCCACTCAACCGCCACAGGCAATCAATCCAGACACCCTCTGGGCACACGTGTCAAAGGCCCATTTGCTCGCCCTTGCTGATGTCATCCACAAAGCTGAGCTGGCAGTGGCAGGGAAGGTGAGGAGGGGAGAAGCTTGAGTGAGGTTTTGAGGCGCCTCACAAATAGACCTCAGGGATGCACCTCATTCATCGTGTGAAAAAAGGGTGTTTTTGAGACGTCTCAATAGCACGTCACAGATAGACCTCAGGGATGCACCCCATTCATCACGTTTGTCCTTATTATCTCCAACAAGAAATGTTAAAATAGCGAAAAATATTTCTCTCTCTATTTTAGTTCAGTTTTGTATGGATCAGTTCGGTGCTGTTCATTTTTGTATGGATCAGATCGGTGCTGTTCAGTTTTGTATGGATCAGTTCGGTGCTGTTCAGTTTTGTATGGATCAGTTCGGTGCCGTTCAGTTTTATATGGATCAGTTCGGTGCTGTTCAGTTTTGTATGGATCAGTTCGGTGCCGTTCAGTTTTGTATGGATCAGTTCGGTGCTGTTCAGTTTTGTATGGATCGGTTCGGTGCTGTTCAGTTTTGTATGGATCAGTTTGGTGCTGTTCAGTTTTGTATGGATCAGTTTGGTGCTGTTCAGTTTTGTATGGATCAGTTTGGTGCTGTTCAGTTTTGTATGGATCAGTTCGGTGCTGTTCAGTTTTGTATGGATCAGTTCGGTGCTGTTCAGTTTTGTATGGATCAGTTTGGTGCTGTTCAGTTTTGTATGGATCAGTTCGGTGCTGTTCAGTTTTGTATGGATCAGTTCGGTGCTGTTCAGTTTTGTATGGATCAGTTTGGTGCTGTTCAGTTTGGTGCTGTTCAGTTTGGTGCTGTTCAGTTTTGTATGGATCAGTTCGGTGCTGTTCAGTTTTGTATGGATCAGTTCGCTGCTGTTCAGTTTTGTATGGATCAGTTCGCTGCTGTTCAGTTTTGTATGGATCAGTTCGCTGCTGTTCAGTTTTGTATGGATAAGTTCGGTGCTGTTAAGTTTTGTATGGATCAGTTCGCTGCTGTTCAGTTTTGTATGGATCAGTTCGCTGCTGTTCAGTTTTGTATGGATCAGTTCGGTGCTGTTCAGTTTTGTATGGATCAGTTCGGTGCTGTTCTGTTTTGTATGGATCAGTTCGGTGCTATTCTGTTTTGTATGGATCAGTCCAGTGAACATGGTTTTTTTGCTGCTGTGTGATTGTAGGAGCTAATCATTATTGCTTCACATTTGTTCCCACAATTTCCGCTTCCTTCCCATTTATTCCTCCCACAAGTCCTTTCCACTCCTTTCCTCTCCTCTCCTCTCCTCTCCTCAACTCCTGCAGGGTCGGTTTAAGGATGAATTTGTGACTGCAGGTGGTGTCCCTCTAAAAGAGGTATTTTCTCTTCTCCCATGCCCTTCCCCCATTCCCTTCCCCCATTCCCTTCCCCCATTCCCGTCTCCCATTCCCATCTCTCATTTCCCTCTCCCATTCCAATCTCCCATTCCCCTCTCCCACTCCAATCTCCCATTCCTCACTCCCATTCCCCTCTCCCCCTCCTTCCCCCTCCCTCCTTCTTCCCTGCGCTCTCTCCTTCTACCGCTCGTCTTCGTCAATCCCTTACTGATTTCTTCCCAATCTCTTCATTGCTTTAGTTTCATTAACCATCTTTCCCCTTTCCACCACCTCTTTCCCCCGTCGCTCCCCCATTACCTCCCCCAACCCGTACCACACCTCAAGGTCAATCTCGCAACAATGGAGAGCCGTCTCGTTCCCAACCTCTTCTCCGCTCCCCCCCCACCTCTTTTCTCCATCTCTCCCCCCTTGCCTCCTTCCATCCCATGCCACACATCAAGGTCAATCTCGCAACCATGGAGAGCCGTCTCGTTCCCAACCTCTTCTCCGTTCCCCCCACCTCTTTTCTCCATCTCTCCCCCCTTGCCTCTCTCCATCCCATGCCACACCTCAAGGTCAATCTCGCAACAATGGAGAGCCGTCTCGTTCCCAACCTTTACTTCGCAGGCGAGGTGAGATTTTCCTTAAGAGGTGATCTATTCTTGTGAACGGATTGGTGCTATGTGTGCTAGTTGCGGGTAGAGAAACAATTTTCAAGGCACTGCAAGCGATATCGGAGATGTGTTTTGGTACACCATGTTGTTGTTATGTTTTTGAGCACTGAAGTGCTTGAACAAACGTTTGGTGTGTAATGATCCGTACCAATGCAGATATTGATTTCGCCTTTTTGCGTTTCGATGCTTGGAGAACAAAATTCACTCTTTTTTATTCTCTACGTTGTGGCACAGATACTGAATGTGGATGGAATCACAGGGGGCTTCAATTTCCAGGTAATGTGCTTAGCATTTGCGTACGCACCTTGGCATGATGTATTTGCATGCATCTGCGCTTGCAGCATACATGCATATATGCACTCTCATTTATGCATGCATGTGGATTCTGCCGTGTACGCAGTTACGTGCATATGTATCTGGGTTGAATGCATTCAAACACGTGAATATCTGCTGGTTGCATGGTTATGCACACACACTATAAAAGCTCTGTCCAAGCCGTCGTGATGTTTCTGCAATTATGTAAATTCCCGCCAAAAAAACCGTGCTGCTGTCTATTTTTCCAAACAGGCCTTTTGTGTGTGTTGCCTTCATATTTTATACTACCCCTTACAGAATGCGTGGACTGGAGGGTACATTGCAGGAACTGCCATAGCAACTGTAGCCAGCCGACTGCAGGCACCTTACCCTTGAAAACCAGGATGTCGTGGCGTCTCAGAAGGTTATGTAAAATTCTGAGTGGTCCCCACCGATTACTCAAATGGTAGAGTTCATTAGTCGTAACTAAACTTGAAGTGGTGTAAGTATTCCTATTTCCAAGGGTTCAAATACATAAATTTCCCAAGTTTGCAGGCAGTTTTCAGGCAGGGGCTTCGCAGGTGAGCAAGGAATACTGGCAATTATTGCATTCTGATATTACACGTACAAGCACTACATAACGGACATGTCTCCCAGTTCCACTGTATCAGTTGCAAATATGCAATTTTGCGGTCAGCGGCACCAAGCGGTGTTGGACCCGAGTACTGTGTGTAGTCTTCCATTTCCTGTCCGCTTTTTACCCTGCAAATTCTCCTCCCATCCGCCAATTTACAGCAACCCAATGTCGGGAGGACCGAATCGCGTACGGTTCGACAATGTCATCACCACCATCACATCACCAACCCAATTTCCCCACCCACCCTCTTCCCTCCGCTGGGCAGGCCCCGAAAGTCCCCAGATGTTTTAGGCTTGCCCGGCTCCGCCAGAATATTCATGCAGACTAGCGTCTGCACTAGGTAGCCTTGGAGAGATCATATGGCCCAAGTACCCAGGTAGAAAGTCCTCCTAATGCAACCAAAATGCACACCACGCCACGCGACATCTGCTGTTGCTCAAGTTCTCATGGTCAGGTTGGGATTGTTTATTTTGGGCTCTTCTGCCTACTAGCACAGGTCACCCTTGGTTTCATCTGCTCCGCACGGGTCAGCCACACGTTATTATCACTATGCACCCTTGACCTGGGCTCCAACTGCAACAGCCCAACACACACTACTATGTACTCCCTCGAGCCGCAACACGGGAGAATCGACCTAAGGGACCTGCTTTTCTTTCTTCAGGCTTCTGGCTGCAGCCAAGAGGGACGAACAAAGGCCAATCGGCTGGATTCTGTTCAGGTGCCTTCCGAATAGCAGGCAGAACGTGCCACGAGCAACAAATGTTGGGTCGTACATAAATTTCGATGCAATAACCGCTTGCGAGCAGTCTCACGAGTTTCGTAGTAGTAGTACCCAGCGACTGGCACGATGACGAGAAGCCTGTCCCTCCGCGTGCCTCTCCTCCAGGTCCTCCTAGCGCTAGCCGCCGTCCTCGAGATTGCCTCGCATGCAAGGGCAGTGACAGTATCTGGCAACAGGCGCCCATCACCCCCCGACTTATGGCCTCCGTATGAAATCCTAGGAACTTGCACGCACACAGGTAAGATATACTGCAGGATATCACTCATCTTGTTGCCTTTTTTTCTTCGTTTTTTGTTTTGTTCTTTTTTCCTCCCTTGTATAACTCTATTGAGTAACGTTCGGACCTTGCTGTGGGCCCTTCCGTGATGCCGCGTCGCAGGTGCGATCAACACTACCATTTCGCCAGATTTCGTCGGGACGACGTGGCGAGGATGGGGCACTTCGCTCGCGTGGTTCGCGAACTACGTCGGCGGCTTGCCGAAACAGGAGCTGACCGCGATTCTCGACCTCCTCTTTGATCCCGTGTCTGGCTTGGGTCTAAACATCGTACGTTACAATATCGGAGGGGGACACAATAAAAAACTCAGCCCTCAGTTTCAAGACTACAGTCAGGATTCGTATTGGCGTGGAGTGCCGGGCTTCAAGCCGACGAAGGACGGGCCGTACGATTGGAGCGCGGACGAGCGGCAGCGGAACGTGCTGATGGGAGCGAAGGAGAGAGGCGCGAATGTCTTCGAGGCGTTTTCGAACAGCCCGCCCTGGTGGATGACTGTGACGGGTGACGTGGCAGGCTCGCGCAGGAAAAGGACGACAAATTTGCGAGTCGAGTATGAGAGCGCTTTCGCGGACTACCTGACGACCGTCGTGGCGGAGTTCGCGAAAAGATGGGGGGTAACTTTTGATTCGCTGGAGCCGTTTAACGAGGCGTTGGAAGGGTTCTGGGTGGCGGGTATGGACCACGAAGGCTGCTCGTTTAACCCACCCGAAATGGGGCGTGTCATCAAGTACACTTCTGACTCGCTAAAAAAGAAAGGGTTAAAAACGAAGCTGGCTGGCGTGGATAGCTGGTACGGAGGTACGTCGCAACTGCCTCAGCTGGACAACCACCAGCTACTAACGAGGATAAACGTTCACTCGTACGTGAATAAGTACGACGGTGGGAACGCAGCTGCGTCTTACGAAGAGAAGTTCGGCAGTATTCGTGACGCGGCGAAAATTATGGGCAAGGAGGTCTGGGTCAGCGAAGCAGGGCCAATAAGCAAAGGAGGAAGCTTCTGGGATCTTTCGCTTTACATGGCGCGAAATGTTATCGAGAGCGTCAATATCATGGAGGCCTCAGCGTATGTCATCTGGCAGGCATACGATTTCGGCGCGCACTGGTCATTCATTCGCTTTCCGTCGTACTATCGTCCGCCGTACAAGGGCCGAATGATACAGCCCAAGGCGAACAGGCGGTTTTGGCTCTTCAAGCATTTCACGCTGCTTGCCAAGCCTGGCTCCAAGCCAATCAGGGTAGGTTCGCGGTGCCAGCACGGGATGAGTGCATTCTACAACCCTCAAGACGCGCAACTTACAGTGTTTATGGTAAACCAGGAGGCCGGGGACCGACGAGTGACGCTTAATCTGGAGGGGTTTAGGACTAACGTGGGAGGAAGCACCAACGTGGTTGTTAGGAGGACGTCCGAGTTTGCGAATTTCAGCAAAAAGGTTTTCACGCAGTTCAAGGGGAAAGCTAGGCTCACGTTGTGGAGGCAGACCTTCGTCTCTGTCACATTCACTAATGTGGCATACTAGAATTTGCCCGGTAGCTCATCATTAGGTTGAATTTCTGTTTTGGTCATGGGCTCTCCTTAGATTGGATGTGCTATCTATTTGTACCACTCATCTGACAACTCTTCTGAGCACATCCACGGATTCCATGAATAGGTGGCCTTCTGTAGGACATACTGATGCCGATCAGGTGGTTACTAACTGATCACCTCTGTTATGAATGAACTTGCAGAGTGCGCAGAATATCGAATAACGAGAATGAACTGATTACCGAATTACTGAATGACGATACAATGGAAGTGACGAGGCCTAAATAGGGGAGGTCCTAGCAAGGCGGAGAGGTTGGGCGAGGATGGCTCGGTGATGGTTGCGATTGGTGCGGAGGCGACTCGGGGAGTGGTTCGGTGCGACGAAATAGGAAGGGCAGGTTCGTCGCGTGACCATGGAGATGGCCTCGCTAACGAGTGCCTCAGTAAGGATGTCTAAATCCTTACACTCTCCCACCTTCTAAATAAGGCAGCTCTGTACTGAAACAGGCCCCACACTAGCAAGGAAGCCGTAGATCTCCTCTTCAGCTGAATCCGACGGCCGAAATGCCTTCAACAATATTTTTGAAAAGATTGGAATGTAGGCCGTTGATGTGATGACTGCAGATCGGACAGTCGACGATGACGCGAATGTGGAGGGAAGCTGCTGACGCGAAGTTCAATCGCGATGTAGCAGAAACCGTTGATCTGCTCGGTGTGATCGCGATCGTCCGTCGTGCTGACGCAACCTGACAAAGTCAGAATGGAACGATGAAAACGCCAAGGAAAGAACAGTGCAAAGCACTTTCTCCCCCCCTCTAAGAAAGTACACCAGAAAACGTTTCACAGCTGCGCCGAGACGAAAACCAACAAAATATCCAGGTTTTAAGTCCCACGAAGAAGAGCGTCGATTGTAGAAAACTAGATGAGATTGCGTCGGTGTGGAAATTTCGATGACGAAACCGGGTGTTACGTGCCCCAAAATTCTCAAGGGCGAACCAGTAGATGTAGCCCGGAAACCGCGTCGGAAAATCCATGTTACTCGAACTGAACATTTTTGTCTTCAATTCGCCAGAATCAGGCGATATCTTCAGCAGTTGCAGCTGGCAGCAGTTGAAATCGAATCGTTTGCCGTGGGCGGGTCGAGTTGAGCGGGTTGTCGTTAGTAGAGTTGGAATGGAGCGTCCTGAAATCCTCTGGCCGTGAAATCAGGGGTAGGCGAAAACTCGATCACAGGGGCGATTAGTCGCAAAGTCGAATACGAGCGACGGCGAAACTAGTTGAAGCAGTAACCAAAATCGAATGTCGCTCCGAAATTCTTGTCGAGCGCGTTATAGTGTCAGATGATGTCAGCACCTTCGGCGGCTTTCTCCAGACTCGCCGAGAGATTTGTCGTAGTGCGCCGATGACTCCCGGGCAGAGATGAAAAATTACAGCTGTCTCTCCCCCCCTTTCACTGTTGCTGCCGCCTTCTTCAGTTCGTCGTAAGTCGTTCGTACCTCTTGAAAGTCCGTGTAAATCTCGCGGTGTTGCCCCACTTCGTTGCCGCGCGCGTTTAACCAAAACGCCGCAACTCCTCCGAAATTGTCGGCGCTCCTCGCCGTAAAACCAGTAAGTCTCCACGTAAAAACTCCGAAATTGTCGCTCGAATCAAACCCCGTAAATCCGCAGTTGCAGGTGCAGTTCTCCTCCGAAAATCTCGGACGTGCTATAGCCGCCCAATCGGTCACCATCAGTTTCCGTCGGTTACCCGACCCCAGCATGTGGGTTCAATCGAGAACCGGGGACTGCCCCTGGGTTATTCCGAGACCGAATTTCACGGAACCTAGTGGCATCAACGCCGTTGACTCCGTTGTCGAAGCTGCTCCCGCCGATGTTGCTTAACAAAATACCTTGTTTCTCCCACCAGCTGTTTCACCGCATCGGTCGTCGCCGGTCGATAAGTCCCCGAAGCTACGACTGCTCCCACGCTCCCTTTTTTCTGAAGAATTTCCCGAGGTGTGCGTTTAAACACCGGGGGTCCTAGGTCTCCTTGCCGCTGTGTTTCTTGCCAGGCTACTTCGATAGTGCCCTTCAGGCGAAGTCCCCCAACGGCTCAACCGCACTCCAAGAAGCGAAGAAATACCCGCAGCTTCACAATGTTTTTGGTCGTTTCACCCCCCGATAATTCCGCTTCCCGCCGTTCACCCAGCGTCCGCTTTTGTCGGGTGGGGTATAGTCGGTGTTGCCCGCGCGAACCCGTCTACGGTGGAGGGGAAAAAACTATCGGAGTCGGGGACCCTTATTTAAAAGGAACTGTCGCCCAACCGTTTCGCAGCCCACCGCAAACGCCGCGCCACTAAACTCCACAGCTCCCGGTCCCGCTTCGCCGCTGCGCCGTCACCTCGTGTAGACGCCCGGGTCAGGAGAAACCAGCGAACTGCACCATTGTTGTCATCCGGCGGCCCGATTTTTTCGCGTGCTGTTTCACCCAGCCCGCTTTTGTCGGAGCAGAACAAAGCCGCAACTCTCCTTTTTTGTCTTTTCTGTACAGCTGTCGAACGGGCACCAAAACCAGGTGCTTTTAACCAGCGCAGGGTAGGCTCGTGTTCACCCCCGTTATTCATCCGAATAAGGTCGACTGCATGAGTCGGAACCAGTAATCGGTGGGGATGGTGAGGTTCGGGCGTAGTAGGGCCGCAGATCGGTTCCACCGGCTTTTATCTGCTCCCCACGATGTTCTTCAACCCCCGCTTAGCCGTTGGGCAGTCT